TGACCGATTTTAATTCTGCTAAGTCAGTACAGAGGTGAATTTTTTTGTAGCATTAGTAATGCAGTGTAATAGCCACAAAAATATTAAGTTTTGTGAGTATTTATATTTTTATAGATTAAGAAGCTCAATGAGGCAAGACTATTTTCAATAATTGCCTACAGAAACTGAATAGGCTTTACTATTTAAAATCCTATATGCCTTGTACATTAAAAAAGTCATATTGTATTGCCTACACTGAAGAAATAGCCACTCCCCAAACAGCTACCCTAGTTGGAAGTAACTTCCAATGTTTTAGCTCAAGGTCAAGTCAATATTCCTGGCTTCAAATCCTGCTTTCCACCTGGAAGGCCAGCAGTATCAGGTACTGGCAGACTTCCCAAGGAGTACATTTCACAGTGACAAGGAATACTATTTTATTATAAAAAATCAGTGTCGTTTCTATTTACAAGCATAGGCACCAACTGGGGATGGTAAGATCTCACCTTTACTATTAATATTACTGGGTCAGAATATGCTAATACATTTTAGAATGCATGAGTTTTGTACTACAAATAATTCTGAGCTTCAGGTTTGATGTGCTCTGAGCTTTTGCTGGCTGTCTCCTCTGTCAGCTAAACTGAGCTAACACGTTAGCCATTTTTACAACCCTCTCCTTCAGCATGGTAGATTTCTGTGCTGCCCAGTAATGAATCCTTCACTGTCTCTGAAGCCAGACACAAATATCCACAGCCATAACACATTAAATGTGCAATGAAGAAGCTGCAGCTTACTCAGCTTCTGGTTCTGTTGTCTTGCTAGGAAAACAAATAAGAAAGCAGGAGTTGAGGAATCAAAAGGGGAAGGAGGGTGTGCATACTCTGAAGTGATATGTTTGCTTTTCTTAACAGCAAGATGTATGGAAAATCTGCAGTTTGATCCAAAACTCTTCTTCAAGGCCCTTTTAAAAAACAGTTGAGAGAACACAGGGAAGATGTGAGAGAAACTGATTTTTAGGTACAAATCATCTCCTGAACAATAGGGCTGCGTCTTCAGCTTTTCTGAAATTTAATCCAGCACAGAATATAGCTTTAAGCTGTATTTTTCATTTCCTGGCCTATTGACATTGCCTATCCTGGGACAGAGGCGAGGCAGGCTCTCCAGGGAAAAGCAGAGGTCAGAAATTACAGAGCAAGTCACAGGGCATCTGCTCTGCTGCAGCTGTGGTCATCTGAGCAAAGCTGTGGCTGCACAGTGTAAATTGGGGCATTGCCTAATTGAGAAAGGCTTAATTTGACAATATGAAAATTTGCTGAATGTGTCTGTTTTATGTAAACTTTATGTAATTCTTCATAGCAAACAGGTAATCAGCTGAACTTCCTGGGTATAAGGAGTAGAGCTGTCTTCAGCTGCCTTTTTTTTTTTTTTTTAAGGAGGAAATGATAGCAAGGAGCAAAGCAAAAGACAAGCTTGCAAAGGCTAGTATCTGACTACAGGCACACATTTTGCACCAGCCAGCAAGATCATGGCCTCTAAATCGATTGTTTTGGGTAATTCTGCTTTCTCTATTTCTCTGTATCAGTTAAAAAAGAAAAAAGAAAACAAGCAAAGCAAGTCAGGAAAACCAAGAATCATCAGAAAACTGGCTTCTTATCAAGTATGCACTATCAAGATGAAATAGTTCACTGTGGTATCTAGCATGTAATCTATTAAACACATAAGAGTTCAGCTGCAACAATTTTCAGAGGATGGGCTAGAAGCATAATCACTTTGCCATCAGTTATCTAGTTTTATTGAGCTTCACTCAGCAGAATTGGAAAGCCCTGAGTTGCAATATTTTCCTCAGTGAAAATGCTTCACAAACGTGACAACCAGAGGTGTTGACGGGAGTTTCCTGTACTGTATTTTTTCACTTTGTTTCAGCTTAGTGGCAGGGGGTTATGCTATTTTAAGGTATCTTCCACTTCGAGTGCTTTAATCTTTTATTCCTGAACAATGTCTGACCTTATGGCTAGTCCAGAAGTAAAGCTTTTCACTTCTATCTGCAAGGCTAAAAAGCACTACAAAACAGAAAAAAACACATGTATTGAAACAGTATGGATATTTGCAGCCTTTGTTTAAGCTTCTGATGCATCAGTCTACAAGAGGATAAACAATATCTAACTAGTGTTCTTACTAAGTTTTCACTCTTTTTTGGTGGTAATTTGGCAGTTTCTTTAATACAGGATTAGATGGTCTAGAGGAAAAACCTCTATTTGCCTTAGGCGATCCACTTTGTTACTAGACTGTTATGCTGTCACTGGAGAAAAAAAAACAGTATTAAACAGCTGAATTGTGAGTAGATCTAGATATTATGAAAAGAGGGGAGAAAACAAGTGCAATCCCCTCATAAGAATATCTTCTGAGTTTTACAGACATTTTGATGGACATAAACCTATGTCTTAATTGTCCCACAGGCAGAAGTAACCCCATTTTGGGATGTTGCCAGCAGGTGTTTGCCCATGGGGTTTAATACTCGGCCCTTTTGTGCCCAGCTGCCTGTAGTGGCAGGTAGCTGCTGCGTGTGGTGACAGGAAGGCCAACGGCTGCCACCATGCAGGCTGTGGGCTTTAGGCACCCTGGCCCCTGATATCCCCCAATATACAGCATTTTGTGGGTCGGGTGACAGTGGGAGGGGACCGTGTTGGACTTGTGAGGAAGAAAAACTCACTGGCGGCCATAAAAAACTGAGTGTTCACAACGGGCTAGGCCACAGCCGCCATTTTGTGCTGCTGAGGAGCACCAGCTGCTCCTCCATGCCACAGGCGGGCAGTGAACCCTGCTACAGAGGATCCTCCAAAAGGATTCTCCCCTTCTCTAAGCTTTAGAAACCAGGTGTGTCCCCTGCTGAAGGAGTGTTTCCTGCCCCTTCCCTTACTCAAGCAGAATCATAAACCTGCAGGCAGGTGAGGTCTCTTGTGTGGCTGTTGCTAACTTGGTGCCCAAATCTGTTTCTAAAGGTGGAAATCGGCTTCCTGAGGGAATGATTTTTTCTGTTCGAGGCTCAGAGCAAAAACTGTAAGTAAATTTTATATCCAGCACAAAGCAAGTTGCTTATTCACAAAGTGACTGTGGCAAGGAGTTGAGAGTTAAAGAAAGGGGGGTGGAGTAGGGAATTCACAAACTAAAACACGTTTGAATATTTTGATAACTCGCAAATACTTTTGATACCAGATCACCAAAAAAGCTAAAAATTTGTAAAATTAGGTAAAATTTGTTCAAATATAGCTGGAGTTTTCCCTGCTTTCATTTCTAAAATTGAAAATCTGGCTCTGTTCGGTTATGTTTGACAGACACCGGATATCAGGTTAGTGTAGCTTTGCCTCTGAGGAATACCCCTATGCACTGCAGCAGGGTTTTTGAACTCTACTCAGTCACTATTAAATTCTTTTATTTCTCGTCTTAGTCCTGCTGCGTGATTCTCTTCCTCAGATGCTTTAGGACTTGCTTTCAAATATTAATGATGACTAAGGATCTGACTTTTTTTCACTGCCTCACTCTCACCCCTGCGGGGTGACTCTTGTAAAGCTGTGAGTGATGATGAACTGTTCAGTAAAGGTTTTATTTAGACACTGACGTGTTACCAAATATGCATTCGTGTAGTGACGAAGGAGCAGCATATTTCATTTTAATCCCTTTTATGTTCTACTGAGTTCTTTAGTCATTAGTGTTATTTTGCTCAGTGGGGGAAGGGAGAATGGCCCTCATAGCACTATACCAACTAAAATAAGAGCTTAACCTTAAACGCAAGCAGAGCTGTCTGTGTGCCTTGCTAGAAATCCCTCACAGTTGCTAGAAGAGGAAGTGAACTGAGAAAATCTGAGAAAGATACATGTTCTACAGATTGCAATGAGAAACTGCCCAAAGGATTATTACATTATCGATGATCTCATGTATCAGCACGAAACTTTTTTGCAGCTTCATGCACAGAGGAGTGAGAAAATGTGAACCAACTTCAGGCCTGCTGAGCAGCCAGACCTTACTAGTTATTTCTGCACAGGCTGCTGTGCTAACCTGGAGGAGTTTTCTTTCCCAAATGTCCTTATTTTATGGCTACCGCAATTAACTTGGGCAAAACATTGACAAAGCAGTTAAAGACAACATGTGCTCTTGCAGAAGTTGAAGGAAGGAAATACACAGCTCTGACAGAGACAGAGTTTGCCCTGACTTCCTTCAGGAGCAGGTTTGGCTTGGAATGTTTTGCTTTCTCATTCTTGAGTATGAACACTGGTAAAGTACTGTAAAACTGACAGGCTGTATGCCTCTAGCAGGAGGGAAGCGCTTATACCATTAAGGCTGGTGA